TAATTGACTTTGACCGATATTAAGAACGTTTTAATTAAATGCACTTTTAACTATATTATTTATTGTGTTATACATACTTACTATTTAATTTTTTCAAAACTTTACTTGAAACTGGTATTTCACTAGTCTACTTCTGAAGAGCCAGACGGTGTTCTCTTCGTTAGAGTGTTTGTCTGCTGATGTCGTGTACATGCAAGATGCTCGCGGTTAATTTTTTATTTGTTTTGTTTTGCTATGTTGTTGATAGACTACGTTAACACGGAGGCGAAAAAGAAGAGAAAAACAAAGATAACGATAATTTGTTGGTGTCGCTGGCAAACGCAGTCTACAGAATTGTGCAAAACAAAAAAAAAATAAATGCATTGTTTAACGATTTTGTTTAAAAATTGCGCCTGTGCTTTTTACAAGTTTTATTGTTATGTGAGTTTTTGTCGAAAATTGCTTACAATTGTATTAATAAATATTTTATATAATTGGCATTTCTCTCAGGTTCTGATCATTAAATTGTACATTCACTTGTACTTTTATTTTATTTTTACACATTAAAATTATTGTTGTTACGGAGCAGAATTTGAAAGAAGAAAAATCGAACATTTAAGATTTCTTCTTCTGGTTTACTGGCGTACATACAGCAGCAGCGATTATGGCTGAGTTATCAACATTGCGCTATTCGTTTTGGAAATATCAAGCACAGCCAGGACCTTCTCTACCTGGTCTTTCTAAAGGAGTAATGGTCTTTCTCTTCCTCTGCTTCCACCGGCGAGTACTATATCTAAAACTTTCAACTGAAGAATTCTTAACCATCCGGGCCACATGACCTAGCCAACGTAACCGCCGTTTCTTGATTCGCTGAACTATGTCGATGCCGCCGTATATCTCGTACAGCTCATCGTTCCATCGGCTACTGTATTCGCCGTTCCCAATTCGTAGAGGACCGTAAATCTTTTGCAAGCCCCGTTTTTCGAACAAGGAGTGACTTGTAAAGTTTGGTTTCATTCATCGAGAGAAGACTTTACTTTTCAATTGTCTACTCAATCCAAAGTAGGACTTGTTGGCAATAATTGATTCTGCGTTGGATATCAAGGCTGACAATATTATTGTTCTGAATGCTGGTACCCAAAGAGATGAAATCACCTATGACCTCGAAATTGAGACTGTCAACAGTGACGCGAGAGGCGTACGCCTTCAGCTTTAAACTTTATATTTAAGAGATTCTACCTTCTCCATTCAACTCTGGATGGTGAATTGCTTTCCTCAGCAATGAATTAAGTAAGGGAAACTATGAGGAATCACTATGTAGTACCGAACGTAGCTTACAATAGTAAGAAGCAGCTAAAAAAATATATCAGAATTTTGATATGAAACAAAAAGGGTGCTTCTAAAACTTAATACTCAAGTGCATTCATTTTGAGCAGAGGTTTAGGTTTTTACGAAATTTAATTTAATTTGAAGTCTCAAGGTATGTATGGAAGGAAAAAGTTCATTAAAAAAGTTTTATATAAATGTGCTTTTGGGTGTCCAACTATATCAAAAGTAAAAATTTGCGGAATACAATATAACATTATAGAAGTCGGCTGAAACATTTTCGAAAATACTTAATAATGTTAGATAAAAAATTAATGAGAAAGTTCAGTTTGGATGGGTTGCCAAGCGTCAAATTTTACTTCAGGCTCATGATCTTTTAAAATGATTTTTTTGTAACATTTACAAAAATATTTTTAATTAATTATTCGTATTTTTACTTGGTATTATTATAATTTTTAATATTATTATCACATAAAGTATTACATTAGTAATATTATAAGTAGATCAATCATTTATACCCTACGGGGCTTCACAGAAATTCCTAAAACTAAATGTTTTTGGAGAGTAAATATCAGGTTTAGCAAATCAAGCCAATCACGCGATCACCCAACCAAAAGCATCGACCGCATGTGAGTAGCTCCCATACATTTATGTGTATGTATGTATATGAGTCTATCTATACAACCGCTTGCTATGTTGCGGAACTCACCAGCAAACACCAGCCAACTACGGCAAGCGCAACAAGTTTTAGAAAATTGTGCGCAACAGTTTAGGAGACACTGGAATATGGTTGTGTCTACATACAAGTACGGGTACACATGTATGTATGCGCGCATATGTGTGCATTCACATATGAAACTGCGAATCGCCGCACTGGCTCAACACAGCACACCATAGCTCAGCTGTAGATCGGCTGGAGTCAATGCATCGGTGAACGCGGTTGTGGATAGAGGTGAATATTGTGTAAGAAAGATTACACTCTGCGCGGACCACAAGCGGCGTGCAATCGGTGACACAGCTCAAAAGTGAAATCGTGCAAAGTGCAGACCATTCGTCATACAGAAACGGCTCAAAATTTGCTATGAATAATTGTACAGCATCCGCGGTGAAGAGGCACAAAAATCAGATAATACTCGTACGTGAAACTCTAGATAATTACCTGTGACCCAGTAAATGGATATAAATTCCACAAAAAAACTGAACTTTGTGTTTCCAATTTGAAAAATTCGATTTTTGCCGCAACCGTTATAATTCAATAGCTACGCACAATCAATTAAGTGAAGTGTTAAGTGGTAGCAATTTAATGAGAGCAACAAATTTCAAGTGGAATTAAAATATATAAGTGTATATTTAAATATTTTGTGGCATATTTACTTACATATATACGCAAATCAGCGAGGCAAACCGGCGTTATGAGCACTTCAATAAAGGGTTCAAGCGCTGCCAACGCTGTGGTGGAGCAAAACAAGATCAATGGCACCGTAAGACTGGGTTAAATGTAACCCAAAATAGTACATATACTTTTAATAATAAGTGTTGCAAATAGAGGGTCATTAGTGCTGGCTAAACAAAAGAATATCGACAAATATACTTACATACATACATATATTGCTTGCAAGCAATTTGTGTTGGCATACTTTTACGGAACCGCTTAAATATAATTTTCGAGCATAGTTATGAGCTACACATTTACCACAAAAATATAATGCATACATATACATATACAATAGATACATACATAAATTTGGATGTACATTTAACATTATAACTATGTAAATAGATACGTAGACTTGTAGTTAAATTAAATATATTTATGTCCTATTAAGTGTACACGTATGTATAAAAATTCCAAAATCACTTAGTGCAGTGGACATTTTTTCATTATTCACAAAATTTTTTTTTAAGTTTTTAAGATTTTCTTCCACTTAGTTTAAATGCAATAAATAAATAAAATTTTATTTTGTTTAAAATAATGTAATTTTAACATAAAGATGTACATATTAAGCATTTTAATTTATTAGTTTTGTTTTTTTAATATTTCAATTTTTTATTTTATCTTATCTTATTTCTTACTTTTCCTATAATTCTATTTTATATTACTTTATTTTATTTCTTTTACTTTCTGTCCAGCTAAAATAATAATATATTTTCTTTTTCTTTTGAATATTGTTTAATTTTATTAATCAAATTTTTTTATTTAACTTAAGTTTAGGTAATTTAAAATTCTTTAATTTATTTATTTAATTTTTCTGTATCTATTTAATTTTAATTTAATAATATTTTTATTTAACTTCATTATATTTTATTTAATTTATACTATTTTTTGCTTTATTTCATTGCGATTTTTTTATTAAATATTTATATTTTAAATTTCTACATCTTTTATTGCAATTTATTTTAATCTATTACATTATTTTCTTTTAATATTTTGTATTTCGTTTGATGCTATTTTGTTCAGTTTTTTTTTTTTATTTTATTATGTTTTATTTTTAATTTTGCTTGCCTGTAATTTCTTTGTTTGACTTTATTCTATTTTTATTTTTTGCTCTTTCAGTTAAATTTTATTTTATTTTACTTATTTGAAATCAAATTTTTTTATATCACTTGACTTACTTTTATTAAATTTTTATTTCATTTTATTGTCTATTAATTTATTTTGTGTTATATATTTTATTATGTTGTACTCATACTTCTTCTTTAGTTTTTATATTATATTTTTTATTAAGTTTTCTTATTTTTCTTCTTGTAGTCAAATGTTTTCAGTTCATTTCATTTAAGTTAATATTTTTTATTATATGTGTTTTTAAGTTGTATTGTAGTTTATTTTAATTTTTATATTTCATTTTATATTATATTATTTTATTTTATTTTCTTTTCTTTTCTTTTGATGTAGTTTAATTATTTTGTTTTTTTTTTTTAACTTATTTTATTTTACCTATTTCTTTATTTTTTATAATTACTTTTTTTTCCTTACACTAAATATGATTTTAGTATCCTTTGTTTTATATAGCTTTATTTATTTTATTTTTTTCGAATCAATCTATATTTATTATTATTTCATTATATATTAGGTTGGTTTTAAATTTAATTTAATTTTTTTCGATTTTAAATTTTTACGATATTTACTTCTCTTAAAAAATTTTTATATATTGCACATATATAATTTTTAATTTTTTAATTAGATATTTTTTTTATTATCCTATAATACTTCAATTGCATTGAATTCGGAAATCAATGTAAATATTAAAAATATTTTACTTGTATGCCCACTGTGCATACTTACATATACACATACAAAATCGCTTTCATAAAAGATGTACCAAACAAGTTTCCGCAGTGCCAGATTAAAAACATGCATCAACTTAAACCTATATACATATATACTGCCACATTAACCTTCAAACCAACTCAACTCAATACAATTTTTTCTGTCGATAGACCTTTGCAGCCAAATGTGAGTAATAGTAAACTCAAAACAAAAACAAAAAGTTTGCAAAATTTTTAAACATTAACTTGTGCCCTTCTTGCTCGGAACGGCGACAAATTATACGTATTTGCACCTTTTGTACCCTTTGGTTTATTTATTTATGTTATTTTGTTTAAATTTTTTATGTTTTGAGTTATGGCACTTTGTAGCTGCGGATCTTTTGTTGTTTTTTTTTCTTAATTTTAAAATTTATTTCTTTAATTCTTTTTTGTTTATTTTTTCCTCTCTCCGTACTCTTTTTAATAACCAGTTTGGTGGATATATCGAGTTAAGGTTACAAAGAAATCAATACAAGCCGCTGCAGCATTATCAGATCGATATCATATTGTACTTGAATTGTTGTTGGTCTTGTTCTAATTTATTCTATTATACTCCATTAAGATATGAGTAAATATTATTGTGATAAAACAGGTTGATTTGAAATTAAATTATTTGCTACTTATTAATTAGCGGAGTGCGTGTATAGTATTAATGTACATAAATTTTAAACCGTTTCTAAGAAATTCAAAACAACAACAATTTGTTATAAGCTTAGTGCCGATTTGTTGCTTGCAATTAAAATAAAATTTTCAAGTATGAAATGCATAAACTGTAATTGAATTGAATTATACAATTCACAGGTCAGCGAGTTTATAGCAAAAAGGGCAAAGTATGTATTCGTATGTAAGCAAATTGTGTGTGTTTGTGAATTTATAAGCCTTCTAAAGGGTAATTTTGCATTCCAAAGAAAAATAAAAATAACAATGTGTTGCTGCAATGCATTGTCTGTCTTACTATTAGAAGTATTTCTCTAAAAAAATAAAAGAGCGCAGTAGATAAAAGAGAAGAAGAGCCTAAATGTGGTTATGCGATTTGAAAAAGAAAATGCTTGGCTTATTGTTATTCGTTCTTTACGCCGCAGCACCACAAGGCGACATAGACCTTGACCTCGAACCAAACAGATAGTGTAATCAAGCAACGTGTTGAACACTGTATCTACCAAGCAACCGAATCGGAGCTAGCTTTAAGTGTATGATGGCAATCGACCAATCTTATTACACTGTAAACCTTCAGTGATTACAAGATAGCGCACCAATTCTGCTTTCCAGCAGCGGCTGCTAGAGCAAAGTCAGCGTTATCGCGATGGACTCATTCGAAAACTTGATCTTAGTGGGGAGTATAAAGGAACAATGGAGTCAAGTCTGTTTATAATTTCTTTGTGACTACGATTTATCACCACTTTCAAGCAGAACTACCTCTTCGCTACTTTTTGTCGATTCGATATCCTTGCAAATCTATAATGGCAAATTAATCTAACACCGTCACAATTTGGATGAACTTATCCAAGCCATTCGGTATTAATTAAGGTTTCAAAAGTGTATGTGACATGAAAATATAATATTAAAAAAAAAAAACGGAAGAGACAATCTCTTATTGGATTTACATAAGGACAAAACATTAATATGCTTTCTGCTATTTGCAAACTGTTACACAGAGAACTTACTTATTAGCAAGCTGGCGTCGCTCTGCGACTCGCAGTAAATGTGAACGAACCGAAAAAGTCAGGCAAAAGGAGTTCTTTCCCAGAAAAAGGTAGTAGGAATAAAAATATGTAGAAAGTCATAGAACTCCATAAGGGAGGATCCCAAATGCCATAATCACGGAACCAGCAAAAAAAAAAAAGCAGCAGCAAGAAAAATATGACCAGTCAACCGGTAAAAAAGTGAGATGTATGTAGGGCACTTTTGTAAATTAAAATATGAGATGGAATGGGTTTATGAGCAAGTGAAACTAAGCAACCATACCTTAAGAAACACTAACAAACTCCGATGTTAAGTTTATTGAAACACAAGTGATTAATAGTTGACTTGGTACTCGGCTCTGCCCTGGTTTATTTTGATATTTTGATATTAAGTAAGAGCTCTTAGGGAGTCCATGAAGCCGCAGGAAGCGACTGGAAAGTTCCGATTATTACCGACCGCGTTAGACGAGTGATTAGCATTCCTTACTGTCATTCGAAATGTTTGGGCTCAAATCCCGATGCCACCAACATACAAAAGTTATAGAAAATTAATTTAAATAAAAAATTATGTTAAATTTTTTTAATTGCGGTCGCCACTCAGCAGGGAATGTCAGCCCCTTCGAGTGTATTTCTGTCATGAAATAAAGCTCTTAATAAAAAACCATCCGTCTCCGAACGACTTGCTATAAACAGTAGATCCCTTCATTTGTTGGAAAAAACATCACGACACAAAACCCCAAATTGGGGAGGAGCTCGGCTGAAAATCACTTAAGCGGTTACAAAGCGCCACTTATATATATACCAATAAAATCTTAAAGCTATTTTTTCCAGACTTAAAAAAAAATATTTTAGAGATAAAAATTACGATATTCCTTTTCCGGTAAACATATTTTCCATGTAAGGTTCCAGGATATTGTTCTCATATGCAATAACTTAAAATTTCAATAAATAATAACCCAAAGAAATGCTATTTGCTATTAAATTGAATTTGGCACTTCATCAACAGTCACATGAGGGTTTCGCATCTTCTTGCTTCGAGGAGGACGAGGTCGATTTTAAAAGAACTGAAAAAGAGCAATGCACAGCAGCACACATTGCCATTAATGTTGATGGCGATAAACAAAACCACACAGAAAAAACACAGCGACAGAGCCAGAACGTTGAGAATGGAAAACAACACAGCATGAATCCTAATTCGACTAGTGAGCTGACAGTAGCAACCAGCGCTACAAGCAATAAGTCCAAACTGCTACTCGTTGGGCTGACAGTGAGCACCACATCTGTCATTGTGGCGATCTTGTGGTATTTTTGCAGTTGGAAATATGGGCTGCCAGCACTGATTGCCGCCATTTTTGCAACAACTTTGGTGGCTGTGGGTTGGCGCTGGTTCTATATAGCTCTCGTCACGACCCAGCGAGATGTGACGTAAGTAATTTGAGTTTTATTTCTATTTAACTTCCTTTGAATAACAAGTTTTATTCTTTCTCCCCTTTTTTTAGTGCTCTCTGGGCCTACATACGCCTTCTTGTGCTCATAAAGCGTTATGAGCGCAATAATGTCTCTGTGGGTGATATATTCCAAATGAATGTGGAAAAGTATCCGGACAAGTTGGTGATAGTGAGCGAAACACAGTCTTGGACTTTCCGTCAACTCGATCAATTCGCCAACCGCATAGCGGACCTCTTTCACAGTCATGGCTTTAAGAAGGGTGATGTGATTGGTCTTTTGTTAGAAAACCGTGCTGAGTTTGTTGGCATGTGGTTGGGTCTGTCAAAACTTGGCATTACAATAGCGCTTGTCAACACCAATCTAACGGGTGCTTCACTGGTACACTGCATTGTTGTAGCTAAATGTTCGGCTTTCATTTATGGCGAAGATTTTGAGGAGACGATCGAAGGTGTCGCAACTCAAATACCACCGAAATTGTATCAGTTCAATAATGCTATAAACAAACCAGTGCGTAATTCTGCGGCTGACTTGGCAACTCTAATGAACTCTACCAATCACGTGACTACACAACCAAGTGCCATTCAGCATCCCAATCATCATGACAGATTAATGTATATTTACACCTCCGGCACCACAGGCTTGCCGAAGGCTGCAGTCATTTCGCATTCACGGTAGGAAATTATTAAAACTAAATAAAATATTTTCAGCAACTTTTCGAAGTAAACAAATTATTGTCTTTACTCTGATGAGTATCATAACATCTTAAGAATTCTGTTGCCTGTAATCTTTCTTTATTGAAAGGTTGTCATTATAATTATTTTCAAATATTTCCAGGTACATATTTATCTCGGCTGCCATACACTACACATTGGGTTTCAAAAGCAAGGATATCTTCTATACACCCTTACCGCTGTACCACACGGCGGGTGGAATTATGAGCATAGGACAAGCGATTGTCTTTGGCGCAACAGTCGCTATTCGCAAAAAATTCTCAGCTTCAGGCTACTTTGCCGACTGCGTGCGCTTCAATTGCACGGTAAGCTAAGACAACTTAATTACCTATTTTGTGTTTAAAACCAATTAAACGCTCTCCCCACAGATTGCCCAATACATAGGGGAAATGGCGCGTTACATCTTAGCCACACCCGAATCCGACTACGATCGTGCGCATCAAATTCGTTTGGTATTCGGCAATGGACTGCGCCCGCAAATCTGGACACGCTTCGTGGAGCGTTTTAATATACCGCGTGTAGGCGAGTTCTATGGCGCCACCGAGGGTAATGCGAATATTGTTAATAACGACAACACAGTCGGGGCTATTGGCTTCGTATCTCGCATTATTCCACAAATTTACCCAATTTCTATAATAAAGGCCAATCCTGATACGGGTGAACCCATACGCGATGCGAAAGGTTTGTGTCAACGCTGTGCACCAAACGAAGCTGGCGTGTTTATTGGACAAATTATCAAAGGCAATCCTACACGTGAGTTTCTTGGTTATGCCGACGAAAGCGCGTCAACAAAGAAAATAGTACACGATGTCTTTAAGAAGGGTGATATGGCATTTCTGTCGGGCGATCTTTTAACATCCGACGAACGTGGCTATCTTTACTTTATGGACCGCACAGGTGACACTTTCCGATGGAAAGGTGAGAATGTGTCCACCGGCGAGGTGGAGTCGCAAGTGAGCAACATTGCCAGCTATAAGGACAGTATTGTCTATGGTGTGTTAATACCACATACGGAAGGGCGCGCCGGTATGGCGGCCATATATGATCCACAACGTGAGGTGGACCTGGAGCGATTCGCTTGCGATATAGCAAAGGTGCTGCCAGCTTATGCTCGACCACAGTTCATACGATTTCTGACAGAAATCGATTTGACTGGCACTTTTAAGCTCAGAAAAGTCGATTTGCAAAAAGATGGCTACAATCCCAATAACATACAGGATGAAATTTACTATCAAACGGCGTCAGGAAAATACGAGTTGTTAACTGTTGAGGTTTATGAGAAAATAAATAATGGTGAAATTAGATTTTAAGGAAAAACTATTTAAGCTAGCAGTCAAGTCAAGTAAAATTTTTATAGTTTTTCTTAATAAATCAATAAAATAAAGAGTACATTAAATTTTTTTAATTTTTGTTCACTAATGTTTTAAGAGGGGTATGAAAATAATATAAAATACCATTATATAATTATAAAATAATACAAAAACAATAATAAAATAAATAACCTGAAATAAAATACAATAAAATAAAATAATATAAAAAAATAAAATAAAATAAAATAAAATAAACTAAAATAAAATAATATAAAACAAAATAAAATAAAATAAAATAAAATAAAATAAAATAAAATAAAATAAAATAAAATAAAATAAAATAAAATAAAATAAAATAAAATAAAATAAAATAAAATAAAATAAAATAAAATAAAATAAAATAAAATAAAATAAAATAAAATAAAATAAAATAAAATAAAATAAAATAAAATAAAATAAAATAAAATAAAATAAAATAAAATAAAATAAAATAAAATAAAATAAAATAAAATAAAATAAAATAAAATAAAATAAAATAAAATAAAATAAAATAAAATAAAATAAAATAAAATAAAATAAAATAAAATAAAATAAAATAAAATAAAATAAAATAAAATAAAATAAAATAAAATAAAATAAAATAAAATAAAATAAAATAAAATAAAATAAAATAAAATAAAATAAAATAAAATAAAATAAAATAAAATAAAATAAAATAAAATAAAATAAAATAAAATAAAATAAAATAAAATAAAATAAAATAAAATAAAATAAAATAAAATAAAATAAAATAAAATAAAATAAAATAAAATAAAATAAAATAAAATAAAATAAAATAAAATAAAATAAAATAAAATAAAATAAAATAAAATAAAATAAAATAAAATAAAATAAAATAAAATAAAATAAAATAAAATAAAATAAAATAAAATAAAATAAAATAAAATAAAATAAAATAAAATAAAATAAAATAAAATAAAATAAAATAAAATAAAATAAAATAAAATAAAATAAAATAAAATAAAATAAAATAAAATAAAATAAAATAAAATAAAATAAAATAAAATAAAATAAAATAAAATAAAATAAAATAAAATAAAATAAAATAAAATAAAATAAAATAAAATAAAATAAAATAAAATAAAATAAAATAAAATAAAATAAAATAAAATAAAATAAAATAAAATAAAATAAAATAAAATAAAATAAAATAAAATAAAATAAAATAAAATAAAATAAAATAAAATAAAATAAAATAAAATAAAATAAAATAAAATAAAATAAAATAAAATAAAATAAAATAAAATAAAATAAAATAAAATAAAATAAAATAAAATAAAATAAAATAAAATAAAATAAAATAAAATAAAATAAAATAAAATAAAATAAAATAAAATAAAATAAAATAAAATAAAATAAAATAAAATAAAATAAAATAAAATAAAATAAAATAAAATAAAATAAAATAAAATAAAATAAAATAAAATAAAATAAAATAAAATAAAATAAAATAAAATAAAATAAAATAAAATAAAATAAAATAAAATAAAATAAAATAAAATAAAATAAAATAAAATAAAATAAAATAAAATAAAATAAAATAAAATAAAATAAAATAAAATAAAATAAAATAAAATAAAATAAAATAAAATAAAATAAAATAAAATNAAAATAAAATAAAGTAAATTAAAATAAAATAAAATAAAATAAAATAAAATAAATTAAAAAAAAAATAAATAAAAGAAAATGACATAAAAAAATTAAAATAAAATAAAATAAAATAAATTGATGTGAAATGAAACGAAATAAAATAAAATGTAATTAACATAATTAAAATTAAATTAATTTAAAAAAATTTAAGTAAATTAAAAAAAGAAAGGAAATTAAATAAATTGAACTAAATAAAATAAAATAAAATAAAATAATTTAACATGAAAATAAAAAAAAAATATAATAAAATAACTCAATTATAAATAATGTAAATTAAATTGAAGCAGAAAAAAATGAATTAAAATAAAGAAAACAAATTAAAATTAAATTAAATTAAATTAAACCAAAAAAAATTTTAATTAAAGCATGATATTTATACTGATAACTGCATATTTATACAGCTGTGTATGTGCACATAAATAATTATTTATCTATCTTTTACTTCCCACGCAATTACACACCGCAAATGCATCTGTGTACACGTTGGTACAAACGGATTCTACTAACTTCCTATTCTAATATAATTTCAATCTAATTAAATAATACCTCGAAGCAATGTGAGTAATTCAACTTGCAACATCAATTGCGCTTCATTAAAATAATGCAAGTGAGTTTAGAGCATCTTTGTAGAAAAAGGGAACATAAAAATAACAGCTAGAAAACTATTTCCCTTAACCACAACGCACTTTTATAACTGGGTCACAGCCTACCTACACATACACACATATACGAGTAATAATAAGAAGTATTTAATTGTGGTCATATTATTTCAAGGTATAAAAGGCAATAAATCAAAAAAGGCTTTTAATATTATATAATCTAAATGTTTTAAGCTTTAACAATGATAGCAGAGGGATAATGGAAGAACAATTAGAGAACAATAGCAAGCGAATTTCATTTTAAATGGTGGTTAAAAATATTAAATTGAAATAATATAGTTACACTATATATATTGAGGCCCGTAATAAACGTGTTGTATTAAAAAATGTTTGTGTTTCTCAAATATTTAAATGGTTAGATATTAGGTAGGCGCATCACACCTCAAACTCACATGTTGGAAATTTAATGAAAAATTTTGAAACGAATAATCATGTTCTGAATACACGTATGTTCATCTCTGCATGAAATGTGTGTTAAAAATCTCTTTTTGAAATCTTATATATTCAACAAGGACTTACTAGTAAATTATTAAAAAATATATTTAAGTTTCAATAGAAATTATAGAATTAAATAATAAAGAATTCAATTAAAGGGTTTTAGTTTCTGAACTATTGAATTGTTTTCAAAAATTATCGACCTATTTTTAAAATTTTTGGAGAAAGTTAAAGTCTTTATTTTTAATTTTGTAGATTAACTGACCGAGACGCAACAGAAATCGGGATGTGTATGACCAAGAAAATAGGTTTAGTTTATTTGTAATGGAATAATTTTCAGACTTTGAAGGTAATTTAATTTTATATATATTTGATTCCAAGCAGAGCAAATATTTTTTAACTTTTTTATAGAATATTTAAACTATTAACCCACAGCGGTCTACCCTATAAACTTCAGCTCCATGCGCCATACGGCACTATTTCATTTTTTTATATTTGTTTTACAATTTTTCTAAGTAATTTCATTGTGGCACAAAACTTTTCCAAGAATTTGAAAAAAAGTATATTTCACTGCGCCATTGCTGAAGGTTACGTAAATTCTTGACTCACTTGACTTCATATTCATTTTATCATTTTACCACTTCATCATTGTCGTGCGCACGCCACCCCAAGTATCGTTCATAGCGCCTTCCCCTACCTTGCTTTAGAAATAATGTCGACCAGCATTCGAGGAGTCGGGCGGCAGCCATAATGTCAAGCATTTCGTCAACTTTGTCGCCGTCAAAAGGGTAAAAAAATACCATTTACAGGCCACTGTCACAATTATGCGTTGTGGTTGTTGTTGTCGCTGATATAATAGGCAAGTGGTAGCATGCAGAGGCGACAAACGTTACTGCTGCCAGCAGCAGCCTGAGTTGCAGGCTCTGTGTGTGTTTGCAGGACTGCTGTCTACTCAGTGCAGCTGACGCAATTGGAAGTCATCGGAAGTTATGTGTCGCTTTCAAATGTAATTGGAACTTCCGCAGCAGCGTTTCATAGCTTCATGCTCTTTTCCAATTTATTTTTCTTTCCTATTCTATTTTTTTGTCATTTATATATTATAAAATTCTTTTTGTTCTTCTCCTCTTATACGTATGTATGCAGGTACTTTTGCATTGGTGCTTTGCTTTTTATATACTTTTTAATGATTTTTTAGTATTTTTTATATGCATTATCTGATTCAACCTTTCCTTTATTCATTTCATGCAGCTCTCCTGTCTACTTTGCTTTGCTTTGTTCGGCATTTTGTTGCAATTTTATTTTTTTAGTTACCATTTAATATAGATAGTGCATTTTCATTTTCTATATCTTTTCCTGTTATTCCTTTTATGATTTTATTGCGCTTTTGTTCCATTTATTTATTTCTCCACTTTCGTTCATTTAAATATTCATTTAATGTAATTTTTGTTCATATTTTAAAGTGGCCTTTTCCCTTATCAGCTCTTCTATACGTTATCCTAACCACAAAGCTTAATCCAGTTGCATCGCGGGATCATTATGTTGGTTGAAGGGTAGCAATGTATGTAAGTACGTATGGGAGTAATTTTCATGGTGAATGTATCTTAGCCATAAATTTGCTTTAGTGTAACTTACATATTGTTTATTAATTAATTTCATCAGAAATGATGATTGATTACTATATAATCAATACTAAAGACTACATATTGATTGACCAACCAATTTTGGTAATTTTGATAAGCTGATTGCATTGCCACCAGTTTCTAGTTTCATCAAATACACATATAATATTTTGCATAACTGTACTTATGTAACGTTTTTGGCTTCCTAAAATCCTGTAAATGTGAGAGAGACGATGTAACCAATCTACGAGACTTTTATGGAGGCACCTCGACATAGTATTAGGTTTAGAAATTCAATGAAGTCTTCCAACAGCGTCTGTTCACCAGACGTGAATCTGCGCGGGGGCTTCATTTTTAAGCAACTTCTTCGGTACTTAAATGAGCCCAGAGTGAAATTCTTCAACATGCAGGCAATAAATCAAGCAAAGAGGTTATTCTACTACACAGCGAAACATTTCCAAGTAGAGTTGTGTCGCCAAGGCGCACAGGAAAATCTTCATCCATCTACATTGTAAATAACGGAACCAAATCGACAAAACCGCAATAAATGTAAGACATGAAAGTGCTTCAAAGGGTCT